GGTACTCCAAGTCAGACCTGGTACCCATGCTGTCCTCTAATCACATACTTATTTTTGTGAAATTGTACCTCTTTTCAAGTGTAGAAATTTAAAATAGGGTATATATACATACTAAAATCATACTGTTTCCAAGTTGAGGTAACATGAATTCATGAGATTTCTTTTTTTCACTGTATTACCCGTATTACCCGTATAACGCGGTACACGCGGATACGCGTCAAATATCTAAGCGGGTTTTCTCGTTCTTGGCATGAGTGTTTCAAAATGGACAATAATTTTAATCTTGGAATTTACATGATTCATTCGAATTGTTTGAATGATGATAATAAGCGACTGACACGAAAAAAACAACAACAACAAAAAACGATCGGTCGAGATCGCTACTGAATAAAGATACGAATCTATGACACAATTATTGTAGACATACTATGGTAGTGACCAACTATGGTGATGCACGAGGGTGGTAATGCAGTGACGTACTAGGGTGAAATAATTCATGAATCATTGAGACTGAAAACCCAATAATAGTTATAGCGATTTTACATCACGAGTTATAATATAACGCGACATAAATACCTTCGACGTTTCGCAACAGTGCCGGGTAGGTGTTAATATAGACCCCGGGTGTCAATAACCGTACGCCGCATGTCGGCGCACCTCGAAATTCAGCGGAGATGAAAAGCGCCACCTGTGATCTTGTATTAAAAATAATTTCACAATAAACGACTTAAAATACGGAAATAAGGAAAGTTTGTCTACAATGAGACACCCAAAGTGGTTTTGTATATTTTCTTTTAAATAGTTAACACGCATATTAGTTCAAAAATCCCTATTCATCCACACTCACTCACTGACAGTCTGGTACCGTCTGGAAAAGTTGACCTTAATGTCTGAGTACATACATACTAATACTGGTCTTCGCTAAAATTACCATTAAATATTAAGAAACTAAAATAGACCACCACTGTGATCGCGGCGTGTAACATTGAGTCAAGATGAACAGACACAGACGAGAATGGAAAATAACACATTTTATATCAACGAATACAAAAATACATAAAATTATTTAAAAATCAACTGGAGTATGTCAAAAGTTGACGAGCCACCTTTTCTCTCCCTATTACTAATAAATGCTCTCTTTATAGAGTCCTTCTTTTTTTTACTTTTCTCAATCAATATTTTGAAAGGCGACTTTTTCGGTTTCGCAGTTTCCGATTGATTAAAAAATCTCTGATAACTTGTCATATTCACAGAAACTTCATCGTTGTTTTCCGTTGCGCTGTGCACTTCTTTCCATGTTTTCGCGGCCGTCAAGTTAACTGTCGGTGAATCCAATTCATCATTTGTACACAGGGAACAAGCGTTTTGCTTTAAAAACGTGGAAACGCCCCTTTTTGTCCATCTTGGTATGTTGCTGTTTCCCTTCGTCCTATTTCTTGCATTCGATGCCTTCTTCCCGGAGTTTCCAGTAATGACGTTTTCCCGCTTCCCTCTCGCGGGGGGCATACTGTCATCATTCTGATCTGATGACAAAACGGCACAATTGTTGCTGTAAAAATAAAATAAAATAAAATAAAACGGAAATACAAAAATGAAAAAATAAATAACCTGTATTACCCCCACCATCCCCCGAGGCACGGTGATTACACCGATATCCTCGATTTGTTTTACTTACATATTGTCATTCTGAGCAGCGACGAAGTCGGCTGAGAATAATGCGATAAAACCAAATATAATTTTGCAAAACATTGTGCGATAGGGAAGATGGGTGTAATTTACACTGTATCTGCACGAAAGGTCGATGCAAAAGTGAGACATTCTGAAAACGATTGTCGAGTTTTTGAGTTCTTCAGTTGCTAGGATTTAGATCGCTCTAAGAAGGCGCGTTCAGAGCATCCTCGAAGTTTCGACTCAACGCGCTGATTCTACCTCAACCACGCCACCAACGGCAACTATTAGTCTATGCTATCGATAAAGAGCCATTGCTCGAAACGTCTAGCTATTTTTAATAGTTATTTAGGACTACGATTACCAAATATTATCTTCTATATAACTATTAGTTGAGGGTTGGAGAATGAACTCGGAGCTGCCTGGCGACTTGAAGCGTCAATAAATGACATCCCATCTCAGAGAGTAGCGAGTACGTTTCCACAGTTAA